ACAGAGAGGCAGATTAAGGACTAACCCTTGAAATGACAACTTTACAACCCTCTAGGGTGGCCATTTAATATTATCAGTGCAGTTTATAAAACCAAACTAGCCTTAGAGCCAGACAGACAAACAGACATTCCAAGAGTCAACGAGTTAGGCAAACTTAGCTGTCAGAGACTCTAAAAAAAAAACAGAACACCAAATCTCGCATTAAAGTTCTCGAGAAAAAAGGAAATGATCACCAATCAGATAAAAGATGCTCTTAGATTGTTAAACAAATTCTCCTTGTCGTCACCTTGGGAAACGTATAGAGAACAGTATGGAGAATATGCATACTGATGTAAGGGTGTAAAGGGCCAAAGTGAAGTGTAATCAACCAAAGAAGATCAGTATTTAGTCCCAGTTCAACTTGTCTTTGAATGTTGGAATAACAAAGAGCAACTTTTGTTGATATTCCAGATTACGACAGGATCCATTTTTGTCCAAAAGAAGTTCAGTTAAAGTAAGGAAAATAATAGTGTAAAATTTGTTGTGGATATTAGATATGAAGGAGGCTGCTATCTGTGATTGCACTTGTTATACTCAAAACGCGCTACTTGATTGGTCTAGAAAACTCGCGCCATCCTTTCGACCAATCAGATTAACAACTTAGGTCTACCATGACTTGTTCACGCGCGGTTTCCCGCGCTTTAGCTGGTTTGCTTGTTTTAATTTTCAATTAAATTTCACGGTAACCCTGGGTTATCGTAACCCACCTTTGAACAACCCGGCCCAGGTCCAGAAAACACGTGCAAGTCTTTCAACCAATCAGCTGCCAAACTAACACCAACACGACTTGGTGTCCGCGTTTTCCCACGCTTTCCCGCGCTTTAGGCGATTCACTTGCTTTAACTCTGAGTTCTCAGAGGCTCTTCGAGGTCTTTTACTTTCTTCTTACAGTAGCTGGTTGTGATACGCGCGTTGTTTTACGGATTGCTTAAAATCCAGGACGGGTACCGTTCTTGTAGACCAACTGTCATTAGACAGACCAAGTAGTGTTGTATTGTAACTTCACCAGGAAACAAGGTTTTATTGTATAAAACAACGCTTATGTTAGATTTGCGTTCTTCTTTACAGGTACTTTGAAAAACAGTTTCTCTTAGCTGAAGAAACCAAGCTCCCAATGTTTCTGCATTCAAGAAATGCGCATCAAGATTTCATTGGTGGGCAGATGAGTTGTTTTTTGTTTTTTTTTTTTTTGTCTTGTATTTTTAGAAGGGCAGCTTTCTGACGATCAGTTTTAGTATGTCGATAAACTTTCTTTGAAGCTCGCTGCTGTAAACTTTGACCCGCCAATTTAAAATGAAGTTTCCCTTTCCGCTGCTACCCTGAGCGAGTCAACTTCATCGAAATGTGTGGAAGGCGCGGTGGCCTCATGGTTAGTGGGCTCGACTCCGGATCGAGTGGTCCAGGTTCGAGCCCTGGCCGGGGACATTGTGTTGTGTTCTTGGGCAAGACACTTTACTCTCACAGTGCCTATCTTCACCCAGGAGAATAAATGGGTACCGGCAAATTTAATGCAGGGGGGGTAACCCTGCGATGGACTAGCCTCCCATCGGGGGGGGGAGTAGAAATACTCTTAGTCGCTTTATGCCACGGAAACCGGAGTTAAGCGCTGATCTGATGGGCAACATGGCTCTTAAAGAGACTTTACCTTACATTGAAAGGTTGGTATAAACGTCATTATCTAGGAAACTGCGCCACTATTAGAATATTTTTTCACTTAACGTACTGGAAGAGTACGATAGTACACAGTGGGGTTTTGTCGCTTACGAAATTAGCGTGCGTCAATGAAACCACAATTGAAGAAGTTTCTAATGGTCCTTTGTTTAACAGTGTTCCACAAAATTTTCTTGCAGAAATCATCAGACGAAACAGAGATAGATTTGTTGGAGGTGTGGTGAGTCCCATTCATCCAGATTTCTAGAACTGGCGCGGCGTAATTTTGTTTCCTGAAAACTTCAATTCACCTCTCCAAAATGTCCGCAAACTCGTTGTCAGTCTCCCATTGATGCAAACTTTTGTCAACTCTTTAGCTCCTAGAGGTGATTAACATATAACTTCTCCCTATAATATCCGTACATTATCCAGCAAACAATTAATGAGAAGTTAGAAGTTGTTATCTTGATCTAACACCAAATGCTCGGAACTAATTTTACAATGTACAAAGGTAGCAGCTAGAGGGGAGAATTATCGTGAGTATCTTCGTTTCAGTTATGTCTTAGCCTTCATAGAATACGCTTGAACTCGAACAGTTTTACAGCCAACACATTGATTTATACTTTCGCAGAACGAACTATAGAGACGTTCGTTAAAATTCCTTTTCAGGCTCACTGCTTCACTGGAACCAAGGAAGAAGCATCTGATTATCTGGACCAGGGATTATATATCGGTATCACGGGTTGGTAAGTTCTCCCGTCAGAATTGTCAGCAACATTTAAGTGATGATGAATGAGTTTCTAAAGCTAGATTTTCGTGCGGGTAAATATTTCCTATGCCTTTGTCCCCGGCAAGAGCAAAGATGGCCTTATCCTTCGTCTTGAAATCACTATTTCCTTTTTCATTCTGTAGCTCGTTAAAGACAGACGAAAACATCGAAGTCATGAAGGCAATTCCTTCAGAGAGATTGCTTCTGGAGACAGGTTAGAACACGATTTTTCCGGTCAAAGTCAGTGTCTGAGGAATTGCATACCTACCTACCCCACCCCTAACCAACAAAAGTCAATTAATAACAAGTTACGATTGATGTTGGTATAGGGGAGGGGTGGGTGCGCAGTTGTTCACATACCAGAATTAATCACAATTTCAAGCAAGTGCAATTTGACAATTTGACGTCAATTTGTTTATTACAATAAAATTGTGATTTTATTAAGCCTGTTCATGCGGCTAAGTTTCGGAAAATCACGCGCGGGCGTTGCGAACCGAGAATATTCACTTCTTTCTTGTTTGTTTTCTTCCACGTTTTCGTCCGTTTTGATTGGGAAACTTTTCGCAGTCCATATTTCTAATATTTACGAATGTTTCCACGCGAAGATATTTTTTCTCCGACAGATTGCTGAGCATTGCGTGACCTGATACGTCATTTTCATGATCTATAACCTTATTTACAACGCTCTCGACCAATGAGCGCGCGACAATTTCCGCCGTTATTGTAAAAAGAGGTTATTAACCACTTTCATAAATGGTTGCCAGATTGATATTCTTTTGTTTAAATTTAAATTAGCCCTTCTGGCCTCGTTCTCCAGTTCAAAATTCAAAAGAAGGCATTATCTCAAGCGAGGCTAGTGAGGCTAATTTGAATTCAAACGAAAGAATATCAATCCGGCAGCCATTTATGAAAGTGGTGTATAGGCACAATGTAAGAGGGCGTAAGTAACACTTCTCTCTTATACACTGTTTAGATGCGCCTTGGTGTGATATCCGTCCCACACACGCTGGCTTTAAACACGTGAAAACAAAGTTTGAGAGCAAGAGAAAGGAGAAATGGCAGGCAGGACAGTGCGTAAAAGGACGTAATGATCCCGCGAACATTGTGTGAGTATCCCGTCGGACACCTGAAGCCAGCAACAAAGGAACATGTGCAAGTAAATCGATTTTGACGGCCGCGCCCTGATTTTCCGCGCAAAATTTTCAAAGGAAACATAAGAAACACCACTGTCACGTGAAATAGGCAAAAAAAAAATTAGTATTTATCACAAAAATCTGTAAAAGGAAATGAAATTAGGACAAAGGTAAACTCGAGACTCTTCGAACAAAAAGCTTATTGAATCATGGGTATTCTGTCAATTTGACATTTCGTTTTGAGCTTTATCAAAAAGTCATACGAAATTACCCCATTTGCTTCTACAACCAAGAAGAGTTATTTTCTCCAAATTCTCTTTCATTTTGATTTAAAATGTCGTTGTTGTAATCTTGTTTTATCGACTGAGGCCAATGCTGTTTTTTCCTTGTCTTTTTTTCGTTTAGACAAGTCTTGGAAGTTGTGGCGGGAAGCCGAGGTGAAGATGTTCAGTCACTTGCTGAAACCGTCTACGAGAATACAATGAATTTGTTTTTTAGATAGCAGGACCCCGGTTATTTTCCTTGCCGGGAGAAAATATCAAGAGAGCTGAGAACATTTTGTTCACATTCAAGCTTTCCTTTTTGTACTCCAGCCTTTGCATTTGTAAAGGCACCACTGCTTTCAAAACGAGCTCAAACGGAGCTATGCAGGTACAGATAGACAGACAAACAGGGTAATAGATGGATAGACAGACAGCTGATAGACAGGCAGACAGGCTGACAGGCAGATGGACAGCTGACAGACAGACAGACAAACGGGCTGTCCGACGAATGGATAGACAGACAGGCAGTCTGACAAATCAATTGTATTTGGTTGTCAATCAAGAAAATTTGATTTCAAGTTGTTGGGTAAATAAGCTCATTAAAAAAACAGCAATAATAAAAGTAAAATTATGTACAAGAATACTGGATATTTAGAAAACAAAGTTACCCAAAAAGTATTAAACTTTTGAATTTGAAAAAAAAAATAACTAGTTATCTTCCATTGAAAATAACATAGGACTTGGAAAGAAACGACTTTCGCGAAGAGTCTACGTATGCTTGACTAGAAAATATAAAAGTGCTCCCCATTGCAGGCGTTAGCGTCACTGATACAAAATGGGTAAATTTGAAACTACTCTGCTAAATATCAAAGAAAATCGATTACCTGATAGATTTTTTTAACCAAAACATCCTCAAGAAATCCTTATACGAGTAAGGTTTGTTCTTATTGTAACATTTGGATAATAGTATCAACAAATTTGTTAAAAAGCTTACGGCTTGAAAAAACGTCTTCAAGACATTATTTTCATCAAAAATTTCATTATTCGAAGTGAACCTGCAGTTCTTGTTCAGCGGAGTTGTTAGGTAAATCGTGATCGCGCTTTTCGGATCATCACCACAGCGGTCAAACGTTGGCCATGCGTGAGAGGATCAATTCTGGCCGGCAATTACCTATGCAAAACCTCTAAGATCAACATAAGAAATAACTGCTTTCTCGCAAAACAAGCGAAATAAAATTAAAACGTTCATAGAAATCCGTAGATTCCAGACTGTTACAAAAAAAAAGGTTATTCAAATACGGGTGTCCTGTTAAGTTAATTGGAGCTTTATCAAAAAAAATCTACGCATTTGAAACTCCGTGTAACTCGTGTGGGACAACTTGGCTCTGACAACTTGAAAGCACACCACTAAATCATCAAAAGTTTTGCACATGCGTAGACGTTTGACCGCTATGTTTACAAGATCCCGCTGAACTTCTCTGCTATCTCCATAGGTCCATTCCGATAGACATGTCTGCATTCGTTGTAGTGAATGGTGGGCGTTGATGTTATCTGTTGGATAGCAATCTTTCTTTGTGATGCGTCGGAGAATTGTCATTAGCTCTAACGCTTCCTCGACAGCTTACGAACAAGAACAGTGAACAAAGAATGAAAAACACCGCGCCACTCATAAGCAAGACCCAGATACCCTCCACTGAAATAGAAAAGAAATGAAGTGATTACATAAAGAGTCCTGTCATGAGCGACTGTTTCAGCAGTTATTTGATGGGCCTTTTCGCCCATTACGGAGCCAATTTTAAATTCAGCAGAAACCCTGGTCAGCGGAAGCGTATGACACCGCTTCGAATAGGAGATAGTGAATATTACTTTCAATTGGCGCTTTTTCGAGTCCTTTACGAGGGAATGTCATCTTTAAGGTGAAAGCTAAAGAACGGCGGTTTCATGCTGGTCTTTGCGTGAAATCTTGCCCTATCACTGGTTCAACGCCCACTGGGGAGGGGGGCAGTTCCTAGTGATGCATGGTCTGGTGGTAATGTGTCGCTGAATGGGGCCATGTTTTTACTACTGGATTTACTATAATGTGGTCCAACTTTCTCGGGATCTTTGGGGTCAGAAAATTCTGGAAATTACCGGATGCATAAGTTTGGTACAACCAAGAGTGATTAATAAAGATGGGGTCTCTAGAATATACTGTAATGGGGTAGGGCTCTAAGGAGCCAGCAATAGATATCCAGAAAAACTGACCCAAGTACCCTCAACCCCCACCAATCCTTGTGAAATAACTAGCTGTTCCTTTTTCGTGCAAACTATTTATTTATGATGTTGGCGCAGGAACTGCTGCTTTTTTTTACAAGTAGCAACAACTTCCAATGCACTCGATACCGTTGATTTAGTTTGCTCACCTGAACATTGTTTATACATCGGAACAAACGATTCGCAATACGCCTGAAATTCGGCGCTGCCATGTCCCGTGAGGAAGGTTTGAACTTTCGTATCATCTAAGGTGAAAAGGCCTCCTGTTGAGTATTAAATACAAGATCGATGTCAGAATCTGAACAACTGCGCGCCCACCCCTCCCATAAACCAACGACAGTCAACTGATGACAATTTAGGGTTTATGTTGAGTTAGGGAAGGGGTGGGTGCGTAGTTGTTCAGAAACTGACATTGAACCTAAACAAGTTTTAATATAGTGCTGTAAAACAATTTTACACAGGAGTGTTTTATATATCTCAGGAAAGCTAAGATAGCATTCCACAGATTATGCTCGGAAGGCGGATTCCGACAACTTAATATCTTACAAAGAAATATTTGGCGACTCTTACGCGCGGTAGAGCTTACCTGGCCAGCAGAAGCCCCTTTTGGTGCTGAGAACAGATCTGCCATTAAAAAAAAGTTAAAACGATTTTAACGATTTAATAACTATGAATCGGAATTCAGCTTCTGACAGGATGTTGAACTACAACCAGGGACGGGGGGGACTTGGGGGGATTTTGGGGGAGTCACACGGTTTTCAGCGGGGAGCAGATGGGTGATAAGTCGTGGCCAACAAGTTAGAAAGAGGGGTTATAGAAAATGTACGGCCAATTAACTGCCAATAAGGAGGAGATCACAAGAACATCACAGAGCCTTGGAGGAGGGGGGGGGGAGGATATGGTAAATTTTATCATGATACAAACAAAATCCTCCTTCCCCCACCCTCATGATGCTTGATATGTGCGAAAAAGTACTTATAAGGAAATACTGGCAGCGAAAAGTTAATTGTTCACCTGACTCCATTAATCCAGACAACCACGTGGCCCTTAGGGCACCAGACGCCACCATATTTGATACAAGGTTTACAGCCCATGAAGCACGTCTCCTGGGGCATGTTAGCAGCACGGCAATATTTATGAAGACGCCCTAGGATAGAAAAAAAAAAAGGAAAATCAATGGTGAATGAGCAACAGAGCCCCTTTCGATCGAGTTTAGTGATTGGTTCAAAAAGTGGCGCGTGCATTCTGGACCAATCACAAAACGAAATAAAGCAAAACCAAAGCAATCCCAGATTACCTTAGGCACCCGACTGAAACTGGTTTTAAAACAGGTGCAGTGCTAATTTTGCTTCACACCACCCCAGATACAGTCTTAACATATAATCGACCAATGAGAACATTGGAGGTTTCTATCGTAGTATTCGAACCACTGGAAGACCAGAGTACCTTAAAGCTAACCAATACAGGAAAGACTTGTGGAAATTGGTTTTATCCCTGATCTAGTAATCACGTCGTAAATCCACTTTTGAAAATTGCTTTTTTACATAATTATTAGGGTGATCCTACCTTTGATAGTATTGTTGACACGAATTGGATTCCCTGAGGGGAAAAAATTATGTTTAGTTTTTTACATTGAAAAATGATCTTGCGAGCGCATAAGTATAGAATATGTCTATTGGATTCCTCATAGGGGGAGGCTACAAGGAACTGACTCACAACCTCGTTCCCAGGGCCTTTTCCCCTAGTTGGGGGTGGGGCGGGACCCAACTTAAGGAAAAGGCCCTGGGAACGAGGTTGACTGACTCAGATAATTGGCAGAGCGGAGGAAGAGGGAGATATCACCTAGGATAGGATAGGATAACTTTAAATATACACGGTTGTTCCATCAGTTGTTTTAGTTAATTCTATACTAGAAACCAATCTATCTAACTACAATAATAATTTGATAATAACAATTCAAATAAAATAAATAAATAAAAAATTCTGCTTTTCATGGAGGCCGTGTCTAAAATTTACTTAAAATTAAGATCTTACTCTAAACTGTGGTGATTTAATTTAGATTTAGATTTAGATCTAGATCACCTCTATTAGAATGAGACGAAAACGGAAGTGTCGCAACATATTTCCACAACTTGCAACAATTCTCATAGAGCCAATCAAAAGACAGTGCCAATAAAATCGTCACTAGGCCCTCCCTTACCACATTGTCCAGCGTCGGAATGAGACATGTTACTTGGTGCAAATCCAATCCTTTGATTGGCTCGATCAAATACTACTACGTTTCCTTCCATGACAACCTCACCCAACACAGCACCCGTAGGTTTGGCGCCAATACTGAGGCAGTGAAACTCACTGACGAAAGATGTGAAAAAAAAAAATGGGAATTACATCTTGGTATTCAACAGCCAATCAGAACTAGGGTAAAAACCCAGGGAGCCAATAAGAGTTCAAAGTAAATACATCACGACTAAGTTGCAATTGGTCTTAATTTTGTATCTGATTTGTTACGAAAGTGGCGCGGGTTTTCCACACCAACCATGGAGTGTAATAATCCAAAAAAAACAAATGAAGGCCATTCCGGACTACATCCTGAGCTTAGTTATTTAGTCCTCTACATTCTAGCCTTAATATACATACGCCAGTAAGCCAAATACACGCCTTTAGCCTTCAAAGATTTCAGACTGACAAATTCTCCTTCTTAAACACAAATGTCGCGCATGCAGAAATGAGAAAAACATTGCAAATTTACGAAAATGTTATCTGGCAAAACGTTTTTGTACTCGTTTCAATTTCGAATACCTTTCTTCATTTTCTGACAATTTGAACCCACACCAGAAATTGAACAATTACTGCTATCAGGTTTCTAAGAATTTATAACTTTTTATCGATAAAGCTCTATGATTGAACTTACTCCTGTTTCCTAACGTAGTGCTTTCCAAGGACAGTCAGTCCGAATGAGCCTCCAACTTATGGATGGAATAACAGAGCTTACTTAGTTCACCAATAGCTAAACAACCAACACTAGCGGTAACGTAAATTATTATGCAATTGAAATTGCTAAAGATAGCAACGCACCAAGCAGAGAAAATAATTTCAGTCCACGTGAGGGCCAGGTGTATTAAATGCAAGGAACGTGAGAAAATGTTAGGCCGTTTATAGGAAGAAACAAATCCACAGTTTACACAAGCTACGGCTTATATAAGATACGGATTGGACCATGTAATTTATACGAGTAACGACCTGAATGGGTTGCGAAGTGCTCGCATAAATGGTCCGCGTCTTATGTCTTAATCATGAACTTGTATGAGCAGTCTCAAGAGTGGAAAATAGAGAGACTTAGCAAGAGGAGGGGAACGTCAGTTGACAACGGCGCGCGCAGCAAAAATAGCGGTAAGAAACTGGGTCGAGAACGTCGCCCCGTTGTGTTTTAGAAGAAGTGATTTAGCAGTCGTTGCAAGGAGACGCCAGCACAATATCTGTTCTTCAGTAGCCTAAACTCGGCTTTTCAAAGATCGCCAACAAAAATTTTAGCTTTCACAAACAGCTATAAGGACAACGAAACTATCCTGTTTGAGAGTGATGCAACAAGCGCAAACAGAGGATAATTATAGTTACGGAAAGTTAGATGTTTATAATATACGAACCACATGGGCGATTAGTATAGTTAATTGCATGGGGCCGAGTAAAATTAAGGATTAATATCACGCGTGTTTTCGGAAGTTGCTGAAATTGCCCGAGTCGCGCAGCGACGAGGGCAATTTCTGCAACTTCCGAAAACACAAGTGATATTAATCCTTAATTTTACGAGGAACCATGTGATTACTTGTTTATAATATAAGGGGCAAAATGTTTTCTTACTGATCTCGCGCAAAACGGGACGCCATTGTTACAAAACAAACAGAAATTTCTTTACCTTGGCAGCCGTTGCTAAGCGATTTTCAGCCAATCATTTTCAAGTAATTTTTCCC